ACCTGATCAATTGGCTCGTAGGCCTGCGTGTGCTCACCTTTTTTTACTTTTCTAAGATTATATCGTACGAGGAGACTCAAAAGAGCTGCAATTATTGACAGGATCTGAACGCACTTTTGTGTGACTGAAACTAGCATCCTCAGATTGATCCATTTTAAAATCGACTGAACATCTCTTGTTCACGCATATGCTGATTATTATTGTTCTATCCTGCATCTTTGTTTTGAAACAAAATCCTATACTGGGAAGAATAATATGGTTGTTATCTGAAGATGCACCTCGGAAGACAGCCTACTTATAGATTGAAAAAGAGTGCACCCCTTTGATCAGATATATACTTCAACCTCCGTAAAGAAATATAAGAGCCTAACGCGGAAATCCTTTGGCGCGGACGAGCGCGCTTGCTCATGGAATCGCCGGCCATTCATTTGCATAGGGATGCAGACCAATTCTAATATTATCGGTCGTACAGGATCATGTCACGGCCGCACACAGGTCTATAGCAGACAGCCGTTTGCGTCCGCCCTGGCAGCAGACGGCGGATGGGACCTGTGTTGAACTGTGCCAATGGCTCGTCTCGACGGTAGAAAGGGCACGTAACATTATCCTCCCCAGGGGCAGCAACGTGCTAGTTGGATGGGGTCGGCTCGGTCCACATCACGCGTTGATATTTCAGCCAGGCCAGCTGATCCCACATGCTTCATACAATGATCCCTCAAATTCTTTTTTCAAAAATAATTCAGATCTATTATTAAACTTCATCGACTATGTTCAGATGAATGAACTCGAGGAGGATTGAAGCCCGGAAGACAAACTCGAAGAAGAAGCACCGCCATCCGTTCGAGCGCTGCACCTGTGAGGACTAAAAAACCTTAACCTAACTACTAACCGAAACAGAGACACCGGGATTCCCCTCCACGCCACCCGCCGCCGGAGCAGCCGACAGAGGGGAGACGAACCCACGGGCTCGCCGGCGAAGCCTGGAGGAAAGTGTTTACCCTAAGGAAAAAGTTCAAAACGAACCTTGAAGTTGCAGACGAAAGCTAAATCAAACCCTAAACTTTGAATCCTGGAAATTGGCACTCTGAACTTGTAATCCCGGTCTATTTTGGACCATAGACCTGTTTGGCACACTGGGAATAAGAAAATCCCGGCCGGGATATCCTGCTACTCTGAATTTGGGCCGACCCACTATAACACAACAAGAAATCATGAACTTTAAAATATATTCACGCATTTCTAAATTTTCCAGCAGTTAAAAAACACTCCTGTTTTCTATTTATCGCACAAATTTAATTTATTTTGTGTTTTGAATTTTTTATGGAATTTTGAAATTCTATTCGCATTTTTAAAAGCTGCTTGTGATTCTAAAAACAACTATAAAAAATGTTCAGAGTTTCAACAGTTTTTCACATGCTATGAAAATGTTTCAGATTTTCAAAAATTGTGTCACATTTTATAAATAATGTTTTTATAATTTTGTAAATAATTTGTTTAGAAAATGTTTTGGATCGTTGGCTACGTACTCGTGTGGGCCGGCCGACCAGACATGAAGCAAGCTTTTCTTTTCTGAAAGCTGTACAAAAAATTTAAGTGCGAACACTTTTTGAAACATAAACATAATTTTAATGTGTGAATGCTTTTTGAAAATTTAGAAAATAGGAACAAATTTCGAAATCTGAACAAATTGTAAGAAAATATTTTGTGACATCTAAAAAATATCGCAGGTTTTATGAAAATGTACGGACCAATTCAAACAAATGTTTATACAATTTATAATAATATTTGTGTGATTCAAAAAATGTTTCGTACAATCGAAAAATGTAGCATTTCAATAATGTTCATGAGTTTCAAAAAATGTGTTTGTGACATTTTCAAACACAAATGTGTGTACAATGTAAAGAAAAAGTGTGCGCGTTGTAAAAAATTGTGTCTTACATTTAACAGAATATACTTGGCATGTTTTTGAAAAATGTGGCTACATATTTAAAAATGTTGAACCATGCAGAAGAGTGTTCGTTTGGTTTTATAAAATGTTTATTGTCATTGAGAAAATGTAAACATGCATTTGGAAAAAATATAACCATGTATTCAAAAAAAATGAAACAATTTAATTTAAAAATGTACATAATGTATATGGAAGTATCAAAAGTTTATCAAAAAATATTTTATGTGTGCGTTAAAAATGTACATTGGATAAGAAGAAAAAATAGACAGGAGTAAAAAAGAGAAAAGGAAAAAAACAAAACAAGGAAAGAAAAAGGAAACCCAGAGCAGTGCGCGCACGCGAGCGACGACGTTAATGGGCTGGCCTAATTCAGCAAATACCGGCTAAGTCCTCTCAAGGTTAAAAATAGACCGGGATAAGGGAGTTTGGTGTGCTGATTCCAGGGATTGAGAGTTTAGGGTTTGATTTAGCTTTCGCTGACAAATTCAAGGTTTGTTTTAGACTTTTTCCTTACCCTAACCGTCAAGGGATAGGGGAGGGAGAGAGAAACCCTAGATGGGTTCTCAACTTGGACGGGCTAATGCTGATAGCGGTCCTCCAAATTCAAAAAAGAACCCTAGCCACACCAAAACGACGAACACAAATCCGGGCCAATTTTCTTTTTTCTTTTCGAAAAGGAAGGATAACCTCCAACCTCTTTATCACCCATTTTTATTATTATTCAATGGAGTATGGCAAAATGAATATACAGATCAACTCAAAGCCGTGACGAACTAAATTGCTACACCTACAAATTTGATAATGTGCTCAGATCGCACCATGGTGTACCCATGGTGCTTGTTCGCTGAAAACGGACGGCAGGCCGCTCGTCGATGGTGTTCCGCCCACAAACAAATATTTTAAGGACCCCGCAAAAATATATTTTAAGGAGCCCAATGTTTTTCGGGTTTGCAGAAAAATCTCTAGCGAAGTTTTTCAGCTGCGCGACGAGCATGGACAATTTTTTGCCGACCAAGGATTCCGAATATTAAGGTGTAATTTCTGAATAGATGTTTGGCAACTACTCAGTTTCAAAATGTCTTTACCCATGTGTCAAGCATTTGGCACCTTTATCAGTTTTAAAATGTCACCATCTGGGTTGTCAACATCGTTTAGAGAATGCAGCCATCTAAAGCCGTAGTATTTGAACACATGGTTGCAAAGTCTCTTCTGCAGAATGTGATCATGCATGCATTTGTAACCTGATTGGCAAAATCAGGCAGGTTCAAAAGACGACCCCTTAGTTGCCAACATTAATTCATGCTGGCTGGACACCTGTGTCAATCACTGCTCTTCCAAAGCATGCTTGTCAAAGGTTCCAGTGTAAAAAATATAAGCTTTTGCCAGATGCCAGCCCACCTGCTTGGCTGGGGTGGTTTGTAATTATTTTTTCCAATTAGCCTCTTTGCGATCAAGACGAGCCTGCAAAATATCCCACTGAGCACAGATGCTCTAAAAACCCTCCCCTTACCGTTGCATGGCTATCAATCTTCGCCAACATATTTTCAAATAATCAAACCCGCCCCGGATAACTAGAACCATTTAATTACCATGCCGAATTACCATCAAATCCACACAGTTCTCACGGAAACACTCCATACCACAATTGTAGTTCACAAACACGCAAAGCATCTCTCCATTACAAACCACTTAAACATAGGCCATGCGTTCATTCACACGATGATAGGGACCATGCTCGGCAGGGAATACGTACAGATAACTTCGACCTCAAACCATCAGGATACTTGTCTGGTCCGGAGTGACTCGTTTGCACTTTCCAGACCGGAAAGGCAGACTTTTTATATTCTATAACAGCAGATCATCACTCCAGGATGCCCCCATACATGTGGTTGGGGTAGTCACCATGATTTCCTTTCCAGGTGAGCACTTCATAAGCCATCTGCTTCCGTAGAAACGAAATCAGACTCTGAAGAAAAGCACATATCCATTAGAATGTGAACTACCCTGTGCGAACACATCCACTGCTCCTCCCTCAGCTTCAACTATCTCTAGTGTCGGCTAGATGGCCACTGAGAACACATCGCCGTACATGGCTGGGACGGCGAACCTGTTCATAGGGATTGGGGCGACCCTTCTCAGGATACAACAGATGCTTAATATTCCAATCTAGTAGGGATGATCATAAACCATACCTGTCGATCGGATCTGATAGGAACTCCAGTCAGCCGCCAAGGCCGCCATGGCTACTGTTCGACAACAGAAATCGACCCTGTGATGTCGTATTAAATGGCCCCACCACTTGTTGGACTGACGCCGTGATTCGTGGACGGAACACCTTGTTCGGTAGGACCTGTACCACCAGTACATCATGCGGTCCTGGTATGTCTGCCGTCTCCTGCGCTAATACTACGAACTGCTAGCTGCCACGCGACCTTGCTCCATTCGTCCGCGTACCAGGAGCAGGCGAGCTCGTCCGCCATATTGCCGTTCTCAGCCTAATGCTCTTATATTTATTTACAAAGGGAGTACTTATCAAATTTGTTCTTCCCTTTACTCTCAGGACAATAAAGTTGCGTATAGATGATGTAAACTAATTCTCCTGGTGTATTGATGATTGATAATTGGATTTTGTGTCACGCCACACTGAACAAGTGTCAGTTAACTGTGGAACAAATTCAGTCGTTTGTTGATAAAAAATCAGTATTTTATTCTTACAAAATTATTGGATTCGACAAAATTCAGTATGGCTCTGAGCAGCATTTTCGTTTTGGTTCCATATTGTAGGTTACCGTTTACTAGTAATTTTCATAGCATTTGGAAGCAGCACTTTATTTACCCTTCTCTTAGTCAACAGAAGATGTAGCGAGACACCACTTGATGCCATATGACTATGTCTCATTTTTTATATACCTGTGTACTTCTCCAACAAACTTACTGATGATGCATGCCGTTTGATCATTTTGAACACCATGTATGTTTTGGTCCGTTATGATACTAATGCTACAATCCTTCTGATCGCACCTTGCACTTCCATGTAGGTAGGTAAGACAAGATGGTGGCTAATGGTGACGCACCTGCAAGAGGGAGTGCAGCTGCAGCTGCAAGCCTGCGCCGACGTAGAACCACCGGTGGTGGTGCTGCTGCTGGAGGTGGTGGTGGTGGTGCCAGTACAATGCTTCAGTTCTACACCGATGAGGCTGCTGGGCGCAAGATGTCCCCAAATGCTGTTCTGATCATGAGCATAGGGTTTATTGCCGTCGTTGCCGTACTCCATGTTTTCGGCAAGCTGTACCGCACCCCTAATTAGCCTCCATATATGAAAACTGAGTTTATGTGTCTATGAATAGCGAAGTCGTAGACTTTGCATAGCAAATGACTGTCGGGCCCTGGAAAGATTTACCTTGTACTCATATAATACTGAGATGTTATTGTCGAACCTTTGCAAGGTGTTTTGTCTTGTCATTTGTTCTTTACACTTACTAGCAAAAAGTCCCATGCGTTGCAACGGGAGAAAAAAAATCATTATCTTTAAAGACCATGACAACATTTTGTTGCTTCACCGATAACATTTTGGCGAACATTTTCTTCAATTCCCTTAACACTTTTTAATACAGGAACTTTTTCTAAGACTCGTGAACATTTTTTTATTTCCCAAACTTTTTTTCCAAAATTGCGAATATTTTTTGAATATGCATATTTTTGAATCCACAAAGATGTTATGATTTACAAAATTTTAGTCTTAAAGTCATATTATTTGGAATTTTCAGCTCAATCAGAATATATTTGAGTGGATATTTTTCTTTTCTTTTCTATTTTATTTTTGAAAATTAAGAATTTGTTCAGCAATGCTCAGTGCTCCCAAGGCCTAACCGGCCGAACAACTTTGCCACAGAGATGTGATGCCCCAAAGGCGTCGACAAAGTCGCTTCGGTGCTTGCGGTGCGGTTGATTGGCCACAGAAAGAACACTTGTAGCAGCCCGCCATAGGTAGCTTTGCAGAATGAGATTATATATTAGCTTTCGTGTGGTTTCAGGATGCATGTTTAGTTTGCCATCATTTGTTTAAAAAAGTTGCTATTCTAAACGTCGTGGCACATAGATTTTTGTACGGTGTAATTGTCTCTCCAAAGACCTGGACTCATTGATATTCAAAGACCTGTGAGATGATGGTGTTCTGTTCGGGACAAATCTTGCTTTTAATCAATTAGAATCCGTGTTAGGGTTAGATATTTTGAACTGGCACATGGAGCAATAATCCTGTCCATTTTCATTTATCCTGCAATGGAAAAAAGGAACATAACGGGTATTGATAATGGCAGGAATGGGCATTTATTTTGAACAATGCATGCGCTGTACGAAGACGTGGTTTACATGCGCTGTCACTGTGCAAAAATGAGTACTACGGTGCCGTGTAAAACACCTATTAAAATAGAAGAAGAAAACACCACCGCACCACACGTACCCAACATCCATCTCCACCTGCCACGATTCCTCCCACCAGCCCCCACCTCCCTCCTCCTCTAGCGCATCTCCCCCAGATCCATCTTCTGCCTTTCTCGGGGTGCCGCGCCGCCCCACTCCCACGGGCACCGCATCCTCCTCCTCCGCACGGTTTCTTTCCCCGTCGGCACCGTGGCCGCACGGGGGCCTCCTCTCATGCCCGGCCTCTTCCCCGACGGCATGGCGACCTCCTCCCCCATCCGGCTTCTTCCCCCGCCGGCACCACGACCTCCTCCCCGGCGCCACCGCGAACCCGGTTGTGCGCCACCTGGGGAGCGACCCCCCTGCTCTGGCGTGCGCGCGCGGGCGCGCAATCCGCCGCGGCGGCAGCCACCAATTTCCGGAGCGGCGCGCCACGGACAGACCGATGGCGGCGTCCCGGCCCCGATCCGGTGACCGGCCCTTCCCTCCCTCCTTCCATGCCACGTGACACACACACGCGCACCTGCCACCGCCAGGGCACCAGCTCGCCCCCCGCTGGCCCTTCCCTTCCTTCCATCTCTGTCCCTCTTGCGCCGCCTCCTCTAGCCACCACCGTATCAGCTGAGCACCCCCGCGCCCGGGGCAAGCGTTGCCGCCGGCGAGCTCCTCCTATGTGCATCCCCTTCCTTTTCTCTGCAGGGGTGTTTTTGCAAAACGAAGCGTTTCTCTTAGATTCCAACTTAAGATAGGAGCGCGGGTTAATTTCTTATAAACAGAGGGACTTTTTTTGCAAAATTGCTAGCGACGACAGACGACAGAAACCCAATTCTCTTTATTATTATTAGGTAAAGATTAGTAAGCGGTGGACTGCCAGAACACCCTCATCTCTTCCTCATATATGAATTGAGTTTGAGGGTTCACAAACAACTTAAACATATGAGGACGAAGTAGGGAGGACGAAGTAGGGGGTCCAATAATTGGGTGACCTTTTTTCCTGCTGGATTGTCCGTGGAAACAAATTGGGACAAAATATTCTTCTCTCCTATCCAGATTGTGTGCGAACAAATGGAGACAAAGTAATGGGGGTCGAATCATAGACGCTCTAAGTGCAGAAACAATTTGCTCCCTCCCTTCCGAGTCCCACCACACTCGTACTTCAGTCAACCGAAATATTATCGACAACATTACCATTCCTGGCATATTTTATCTTTCGATGGCATTAACAATCTACTCCCTCCGTTCTTAAATATTTATCTTTTTAAAGATTTCAATTGGACTATCATATACAGATGTATATAGACAACATATTTTAGAGTATAGATTCATTCATTTTGCCATATATAGTCACTTGTTGAAATCTCTAAAAAGACGAATATTTAGAAACAGAGGGAGTATTGATCATCCTTAAAAGGGCATATGATGTTAGTTACAACCAGCTAACTACAAAATCATGTATTAAGGGAAACATTTCTCTCCGGTCTGCCGGCGCAAACTCACGCCGGTCGCTCGCGACCTGTCCCATTCAGGGGGATCGTGCGTATGTGGTACGCCCAAGTGTGCTTCGAGAATCCTCCCGGCCTTATCCACAACACCGCTCATTCTCCTCCACACACAGCTCCCAGCTCATTTCTTTTTCTTCTCTTCTTTCTCCACACCGCTCCCCTCACATCCACATCCAATACGAAACAAAAATAGCCATCTCCATCGCCCCCCATCTCCTAAGCTGCAGATCCCATCCTCTCCTACATATCCCGTCTGCTACTCCTCCGACGAGCTCCCCATGCGATCCAACCTCTACTCCGTTGCGACCTTCTCCATTGCTATCTTTGCTGCATGGGCGAGCAGTCAGCGGGGTATTGGCCGGTGCTGCACAAGCAGTAGCCCACGAGGATTTCGTGCGTGCAGTGGCCGTTGCTAGCCGGCGCTCGTCGCTGCTGCTACTACGTCCCCGTGGTGCTGCTACCGGCGCGGCGAGGAGCTACAACCGGCGCGTGGCCGTGCTGCAGTCAGCACAAGCAGTGCTGGAACCGGCAAGCGGAGACGGTGTTATTCTTTGCTGGAACCAGTTCTTCTTTTTGCTGGAACCAACCCCAATTTTTGCTACCACGGTCTGCTGGAAACAGTTATTCATTTTGTTGGAACCAACCCCAATTTCTGCTACCACGGTCTTCAAGTTTTGCTGGAAACAGTTCTTCATTTTGCTGGAACAAACCCCAATTTCTGCTACCACCGTCTTCAAGTTTTGCTGGAACTAGCCCATTTTTTTGCTGCCATGGTGTTTTTTTGCTGGAACCTATGTATCACCTTGCTACCATGGTTTTTAGTTTTTTACTGGAACCTATGTACCACTTTGCTACCACCATCGTCGTTTTTTTGCTGGAAACCAACCCAAAATTTGCTACCATGTTTTTGTTTTTTCTGGAACCAGTGCACCATTTTGTTACCACCGTTTAGGATTTTTGCTACTATCGGTTTGTAGATTTGCTACATCCCTATTTTCATGGTGATTTCTGCTGTTTCATGCCCGTGGGAGTAAGAGCTTGGAGGATTGGGGGTTGCTAAGCGGTGCGGACGACGACCATCGAGGGTGCTGACGAGCTTTTCGACGAGCGCGGGATGCTGCGAGGAGGGCTGACGCTGGGGCGCTGCCGCGCTCGCCGGAGTGCACACGCACATTGACGGCGGCAGATCGCCCGTGTCAGTTGGAGTAGGAGAGCTTTTTTTTATTCGCGAGATCAGACGGCCCTGGGTGGACTAATCAGACGGCTGCGCGTCGACCGGCCGAAATTTGGCGGCGCCTATCATCGCCCATTTTACAAACACCTAAATTCTTACCAACGTCATTAGTTCACGCACAAATTTATTGCTATCACTCCCTCACACACACAACTTCATTTAAAATAAAACCATGTAACCGAGTCTTCACATGGTTAATCTTGTCGTAGGCGTTCCAGATGCAGCATATGGAGAACATCTTGGCCTATATGATAATGAAAAAAGAAAGGTTCATACAATGTATCCTAGTAACCTTAAGATAAATATAAATTACTTCTACAAATAACTTTGAAACCACAATTCTCTGATTTGAAAACACAATCTCCCATACTTACGTCTTCTCAAGCAGTACATTGATACTTTCTACCAAGCAAAACATCAAAATAGCTAAGAAATGTCAAGATAGCTTGAAACAGAAAATGAGTTAATCAGTACTATCATATTATAATCAAGAAAATATCATTATTTCAATATCCAAAATTAGAAACCATCGATTTAGTATGATTGACACATTTACTGGGAATGTGACATGTCATTTGCTCTATGATGTCCCACAACATTACTAAAACAGGGAGATTGTTTACATACAGATCATTGTATTTCTGCTAAAAAATAATTGCTGGAACTTTACTTTAAAAATGCAATGCTCTAATGTATCCATTGTGAAAATATCAATAATGCGAAAATGGCAGTCACATACCAGCCCAGATCGCAATAGTTTCAGCTTGGGAACTTGTTGCTAATTGAAGTGGGTTAATATATGGTAAATGAATTAAAATGGAGCAAATGTGTCCCATAAATTTAATAAATCTTTGAAAAAACATTCGATGATAGAGATTCAGGATAAAAATGCAATGCGGCCTAGCTAAAATTTTGGGATAAATTGCTTTCGAAAAAACAGAATATGTCTAAATTAGTGCATGACTGATGCCATAGAAATTATTGATCAAAGTATCATCCACTAATAATTGTGTTCATCTTAGATTTTTGGTTCACATGTCAGCATTAAGTATCTAAACATGAGGATGGTAGAAGCTGCAACACATGATTAGAGATAACCTGGTGTTTATACTTATCTAGCAACATGGTGTCTCAGTAGGCAATACTCGATAAAAACCAGATTGTTTTGGTAGTAGACGCCTCACGACTTGCTTTAGAACCAGGGCCCCGACACTACTAATCGATCCATTTAAGTTACAAATTAGTAAAAGTTAAATTGACGAACAAAAAGTAGCTCCAGCTCCCGCTTGAAACTCGTACCCAATTCTATTACAATTTGTAAAAATGCCTGACCTGCAGAGCGTCCTCCACATGCAAATGGTAAGTAGCAAAGCGTTGCAATGAACATGTGGCTCCCACCTTCTTCCACTGTCTCCACTCTCCAGCTATCACTGCATTCTTTCTCTCCACAGTTGCATATCCCTTTTCATGTATATAAGAAACATAGAGTTTGATGGACAAAATATTTTATGAAACTTATATAAAAGTCAAAAGCATCTACAAATAGAAAGCAAGTACGTTTACTATTTATCTCTTCTACATCATTGCTGGATTTACAGTTCATGTAATGGAGCACGTGCAATGAGGAACATATCAATCAGGCTAATGGCAGTATACTTGCACACTGTCTCGTATATCCTCTAAAGTTTTTCTAATCCCCTCCCGAGATACAGAAATCACAACTCACCTCGGTTCTCTGTTCATAACAAACGGTGGAACTGCACATAGATGGCAAGAACCAGGATTTCGAGTAATCTGTCGAGCTCCACATTCTGGGTCTCCGACTTTCCGGCGCGTGACAAAAAAAAAACATTGTGGGTCGATGCACATCTGCGGTGCGCCAAGAAACAGCGCTGGCGATGCTTCAATCTTAGGCGCGAGGAAACGGCGGGGCAGCGCCTGCTTGCGACGGCAGCAGCGGGCGGCGTTTGCTGGTGTGGGTGGAGGCGACATGGGGTAATAGTCTCATTAGTGCATCTGTGGTTCTTTGACACTCGAAGCGAAACACAATGCTAGTAAATAAAAAGACTAAAAACATACAGAGTTGTGGCACTGTATGTTTTGTATGTCTGGAGATCAAAACATCAACCTTTCTTGAAGGCACAGGGAAGTTTTTTCAATGAACAGCATAAATATTACTGTTTTTTTTCCGAGAAAAGTACCATGTGAGTTTCAAAGTGGTCTATTGATATCATATAGTCCTACCTGGCTACGATGTCAAGTTATGTCTTCTTAATTTTTAGACAGTTACATGACTTCTTTTCAGTAATACAACACAGTACATGGGGTTTTCTGCATAATGAAATTCCTTCTTTTCAGAAAATGACAGCACATACACTGCTAAAATATATGGTACATGATATATAATATGTAGGAGGGAGTGCAACACTTACATACCTGTCAAAAAGGTGAAGTCTAATGATGACATCTGCAAGATTAGAATTAGCCAAGTCCATAAGTTGAAAGAGCTTCTTTCTTTTCCTTATGAAGTCCCCAGTCTTCTCCATGATATGATTGATTTCAGTAAATTCCTCAACCATATCATCGACCTATTAAAGTAGCATCTTAGAACTTGAAACATTGCAACCACTTGGAAATAGTTTATTGACTTTGCTCAATCACAGTACCTGCTGTATGTAATGAGCAAGAGCGATGCTTTGACCAGGAACACTTGAAATGATCCAAATTCCATCGATATCTAAACTTTTAAGAACTATATAATCAAGACCTCCTTTCATCCATGTTGTGAGGGATGGCTTATCAACTACCGCATAATCTGGTAATTGTGAAATAAATGTCATCATGTGAGAATATAATACAGGTTCAGTGTTACAAAAGTGGGTTAGGCGCAAAAGTGGATTAGGCGCTAGGTGCCATATGACTGGGTGCCTATATACTTATGCAGGTGCAGCTACATCATTTGAACTGTTCTGTATATAAATAACTAAAGAGCATTCTAGATAATTGCACTCTTGGAACATGAGGCTTGACTCAAACTTCTCATATTTCGAAATATGCATCTTTAAGGGCCTGTTCTGAAGTCCTCCAACTCCAGGCTTCACAAACTCCATGTGCGAAGCAGAGCCGAACGATTCTAGCTCCAAAAGCTTAGCTTTGAGAAGCTGAATGGATCCTAGTGTAAAAAGCGTGGAGTTGGAGAAGTTAGGAAATCGCAGCTTCAGGAATCCTCCAAAACATGGAGTTGGCTGAAATTACGTGGTTTGCCACCGCCAAGTGAACATAACGTTTCGTTTAGTCTCTCTCCTCCCTTCGTTCCTCGTGAAAACTGGCTCGTGGCTCCTTCCTCGTACAGAAACACCTCTCTCCTTCTCTTTTGGGCTGCATGCTTGGCCCATGGGACGATTTCCACCCAGCCCAATATGGCGCTAGACATGTGAGCAGCCGCTACCAGCCCAAAGTGACGACAGAGAAGCTGTTTTCGCTGCCGAACGGATGTGAATCGCTACACGGAGTGAGAAGCTGGGTTGAGAAGCAGAATTTTTGGAGTTGGGAGAGTTGGGAGGACTTCAGAACAGGCCCTAAACATGCAATTGTGCATGGACTGCCACTCACATAACCCACCGCGCCTTGTACAACATTGCACATGTTTCACGGTAAATTCTACAAACAATTAGGAACGCCAGTATCCAGAAGCCATATAAAGGTTCAGCCAAACATAAATTAAATTCAGAGCAATTCTCTTGATCCTCAATGGTCTTTACTAAATATTAGCAGTCATTATCATCAAAGGAAATTGGATTGATCGTGCACATACATGGCAATGAAAGAAGAAAGATGGGTACAAATCAATGAGGAAAACTACACTATTTAGCAATTTACACAATAACAGGCCAGCTCATGATAGCGTGGACATACCATATTTCCTCATCTCCGGAAGCCATCCCGAAGCATGTTCCTGATCATATAAAGGTACTACTCAGATTCATGATCACCAATATTGAACAGCCCAGAAGAACCATATTGGAAGACAACCACACTGTGATAGCAAAATCTGTTGTTCTGCACCCCAATGCCCAACAAAAACGTGAGATAAATGAGGTTATATAATGTACATACAGCATGTTCAACAAACGATCAAACATCAATATAATTGTTGGCCCGCAAAATATGTGGTGCTACACTGAAATCAGTTACCATGATCTCTGGAGGAATTCAGGGTAGCAGAGCGCAGTGTAGTTTACCGACCAAGTGGATGGATTTACCACGTCGCTTAGGTGATGTAAAAGATTGGATAAAGAAAATCAAACAAAGGTCGTTTTTCATTCCTCGTCACCAAATCACTGTGGCCTCCCACAATAATGTTAGATGAGAGATTGAAAAAACATAGTAGCAGTGTAGCACGCAAGGTCTTCCTTGCAGAACTATCATCAAACACCCAGCGTACAACCACCTGCGCATTCTAACTTACCTGATGAAGAGGAAGTAGGCCCCGACGGGGATCCTCCTCCTGTGGAGGCCTTCTTCCTCGTCCTGCGGAGGCGCGGGAGCCGGGGCCGCCTCTACCGCCGCCCGGATCCAGGCCCAGAAGACTGAGCTTCCGAGGCTAGAATCGCGGGCGTCATCGGGAGCGGTTGCAGCGACCGCCATGACCGAGGAAAAAGTAGACACGCGGGCGGGGAGGCGCGGCAGGCTCGCCGAAGTGGACCTCGATGGTGGCGGCATGCGCGCAGCCGCCCCATTGGTTGAAGGCTTGAAGCGACTGGGTGTCGTGCCATGACGCGAGCAGCAAAGCTATGGGAGAGGCCCTGTGCGGAACTCCTCTTTTTCCTCTGCTACCAAAAAATACATGGACGATCGATACTGTTAAACACAAGGTTTTGGGAAACTGCACGACACCCGTTAAGGGTGTGGCTATCTCATATATATAAGGGGTACACAAAGGTGTACGATACAATATACAAGACATATACAGAAGCTATATGTAAATACAGTCTAACACCCTCCCTCAATCTTAACTATGCCCTGAAGTACAAAGTATGTTAAGATTGCGCCTGCAGCCTACAAACTGAGGTTGTGGAAGAGGCTTCGTGAAGATGTCAGCAAGTTGATCTTTGGAGGAGATGAACTTGATGTGGAGTAGCTTCTGTGCAACACGTTCCCGTACAAAATAATAGTCAACTTCTATGTGCTTTGTCCGAGCATGAAACACTGGATTAGATGAGAGATATGTGGCTCCAATGTTATCACACCAAAGGACAGGCGGCTGAGTTTGAGGAACTCCCAACTCTCTCAATAAGGATTGTACCCATATGATTTCAGCTGTAGCATTTGCAACAGCTTTATATTCTGCTTCAGTGCTGCTCCTGGACACTGTAGCTTGTTTGCGAGCAGCCCAGGCGATCAAGTTAGGACCAAAGAAGACAGCATGTCCCCCCGTTGATCGCCTGTCATCTGGATTACCAGCCCAGTCAGCATCTGAAAAAGCAGAAAGCGTAGGAGACGGTGCTGGCTGAAGGAGCAGACCATATGCTGCAGTGAGGCGTATATAACGAAGAATACGCTTCACCGCTGACCAGTGAGTAGTCCGAGGAGCATGAAGAAACTGACAAACACGATTGACTGCATAGGAGATGTCAGGCCGAGTGATGGTCAGATACTGCAGACCACCAACAATACTGCGATACTCAGTAGAGTCATCCGAAGTGAGAGGATCTCCATCAAATACAGACAAACGATCAGTAGCAGACATAGGAGTCATGGCATGTTTACACTGTAGCATACCTGCCTTGCGCAACAAATCCATGGAGTACTTATGTTGAGTGAGTGTCAAACCAGCAGGAGAACGAGAGACTTCCAAGCCAAGGAAGTAATGCAACGTGCCTAAATCCTTCACCGCAAAATCACCACTCAAGGAGGAGATGAGACGATCAGCAGCAGCATCTGATGAGCTGATGAGAATAATATCATCAACATACACCAGCAGATACATCGTCACCTCAGGCCGATGCAGAAGAAAGAGTGACGTATCAGCAGTGGAAGGAACAAAACCCAGGGACCGAAGAACAGAGCACAACCTGGCATGCCAGGCACGAGGAGCCTGCTTCAACCCATAGAGCGCCTTGACCAGACGGCACAGATGATGAGGGCGAGCAGAATCCACAAATCCTGGTGGCTGACGCATGTAAACCTCCTCATCCAGAACTCCATGCAAAAAAGCATTCTGAACGTCCAGCTGACGAAGAAACCAGCCTCGAGTAACAGCCAAGGATAACAGAAGTCGGATAGTCGTTGGTTTGATCACCGGACTATATGTATCCTCATAGTCAAGACCATACCATTGTTTGAACCCTTTCGCCACTAACCGTGCCTTATAGCGTTCAATAGAACCATCAGCATGCCTTTTAACTTTGAAGACCCACTTGGAGTCAATGACATTAACACCAGAGACCGGAGGAACAAGTTGCCATGTACCATTTGTCAATAACGCTTGAAACTCTTGTTCCATAGCCTGTCGCCAATGAGGGATCCCAAGGGCAGCCTGAAAATGACGCGGTTCAGCCGAAGGATCTTCCTTGAGATGAGCAACACATGCTGCAAGCCACGCCACCGTCCCATCTTTGCGTTGCTTGGGACAAAAAATGCCAGACCTGCTGCGCGTGTGTGGCCTCTGAGCAGCAGCAGCCGGTCGTGACGGAACCAGAGAGACCGGCGAGGCATCAGGCGACAAAGGCAGTGACGAGGCAGGGCCAGACGACGGCATGGAGGCGGGCGACACCAGCCCAGGCGATCCCGGCCCAGGCGAGGCTGGTCCAGGGGAGACCAGCCCAGACGACTCCGCCCCAGGGGAGGCCGGCTGCTCCACGCCATCCATGGCCGGCCCATTTGAGGCCAGCCCAGGAGAGTCGGGGGCGACACCTTGAGGCCCAGGCGAGTCCAGCCTGGGAAGAGCTGGTGCGGCAGCCGACTCCGGTCGCGCGGGTGAGGCCGGGGCTGCCGACCCCGGTCGCGCGGGAGGCATGCATGGCGCATGCATGGCACCAGGCACCAAGCCAGGTGCACCCGACGGCTCCTCCTGTTCATCCAGTAACTCAAGACGAGCTCCACGACCTGTACCTGCAGCATGATTAGGCAACAACGCAGGAGAGTATGCAACATCAACAAATTGAGCAGGCAGGGGAGAAGTGGTAGATGAAGATGGAACCGGAGGTGCAGGAGTTATGGAGAAAGACGAGAACGGGAATACATTCTCATCAAACACAACATCACGCGAGATGTAGACACGATTAGAAGGAATGTGGAGACACTTGTACCCTTTATGAAGAGAGCTATACCCAAGAAAAACACAAAGTTTGGATCGAAACTCAAGCTTGCGCTTATTATATGGACGAAGATGAGGCCAGCAAGCACAACCAAAAACTTTGAGAAAGGTATAATCTGGAGACTCATTAAGCAGCAGTTCAAGCGGTGTTTTCATTCCAAGGAGTCGTGTGGGAAGCCTATTTATGAGAAAACAGGCAGTGGAAAATGCATCACTCCAAAACCTAAAGGGTACCGATGCATGGGCAAGTAAAGTGAGACCAGTTTCAACAATGTGACGATGCTTACGTTCAGCCGTGCCATTCTGCTGATGTGTATGAGGACAAGACACGCGATGTGAAATTCCAAGCTTATTAAAAAAGGAATTGAGGTTGTGATACTCACCCCCCAATCGGTCTGGACATGGATAATCTTATGCTTGAGAAGACGCTCAACGTGAGCTTGAAATTGGAGAAACACATCAAACACATCAGATTTACGCTTGATAAGGTAAAGCCATGTGAATCGACTATAAGCATCAATAAAACTGACATAATAATTATGACCACTCACAGAAGTTTGGGCATGCCCCCATACATCAGAAAAAATAAGCTCAAGTGGAGTTTTAACGACACGACTCGAATCTGAAAACGAAAGCTGATGACTCTTGCCTTGCTGACAGGCATCACAGACTGTGGCAGCATTTTTATTGGACACAATGGGAAGATTATGGCGATGTAGAATACTACGAACTATGGGAGTTGCAGGATGACCAAGCCGTGCATGCCAATGAGTGGGCAAAACACGGACACCGCTGAACGCTCGAGGAGCAGATGGTAGATCAAGTGCATAAAGTCCATCACGCAGGCGACCTCTAAGCAGAACGTCCCTCGTGGTCCGATCCTTGATAAAAAAATGAAAAGGATGAAACTCAGTGAAAACATTGTTATCACGAGTAAGTTGAGGAACAGACAATAAGCTACGAGTAGCGGAAGGAACTCTAAGAACATTACAGAGATGAAGAGATTTTTGTGTGCAAGTTAAGAGAGAGGCCTGACCAACATGTGATATGTGCATACCTGCTCCATTGGCGGTGTGAATCTGATCATGTCCACGGTACGGTTCCTGCATGGAGAGTTTGCCCATCTCGCCTGTCAAATGATTCGTAGCGCCTGTATCCATGTACCAAGTTGGGTCGATGGGATATGATGGAGTGTGGCCTGCTTGGCGAGCAGGCTCATGAGTGGCCAAGGCAGCCTGCTTCTCGTTGCCTTTGCCATTGTTGCCGATGCCGAGGAAGTCCTGCTTGAAGCGGCGACGACAGCGGGAGGCGATGTGACCTGGAATATTGCACAGCTGACAGGGGAGCTGAACACCACAAGAGGGGCAGCAGGCACACCGACCACCCCCGGTCGTAGGCATGGCAGCGGCGGCAGGCGGCCGCTGAGTCTGTGGAGTCGAAGGCACTGACTTGCCGCCGGTGGGTGATTTGAAGGGCTTCCCTTTGCCACGCGTGGCAGCATTGGCAGCAAGAAAACTCGGGTTAGCACGACGGGACTTGATGCGCTGTTCCGTGGCTAGGAGGCGGGCGTAGAGCTCACGAGGTTCAAGCGGAGTGTCACGACCATTGAT